TTAGAAACCATGCCTTACATACCATTGGTGACCGTTTGTGAGCTGACATCTGATGGGCTCTGGAGTGCACCGTGAATGTACAGAACTGTCTGTTTAGATTTAACAAAGTCCCGGTTTTGAAGTAGGTGTGCCTCGTTCCCTACTTTGTAGGATGTATTCGTCCCTTTTCTGCCAACATCATGTATCATATATTAAAAGACTCTTAATTTTATGAATAATTAATGTTTTCTATTTCCATGCTGCATGACCTAATAATAATTTTATAATTGGATAAACATGATAAAAACAATGTCTCATTTTTGGACGGAAAAGGGAAAACTTTGAAGGGAACTCCTATATTTGAGGAAAACTCCCCCGATATCTCGCCTCAGATTATGAGGAATCTTTTCAAAAAAAAAAAAGGAGTAAAAATCCATCTATTAATGAGACTTCCTCGAAATCATAGAATATTCGTCAACCGAGGGAGTTCCTCAAAGTTTTCTCTTTTCCCTCAGAAAACCGTTTAACCGTAGAGTGAGTGCCGATTTCCCTTTCGTAAACGACCTAAATCGTATGTTGTACAGTGCCCCCCCGTACTTCCACTCTCAATCCGGCGCACTATCACCCTCCTCGCCAAGTTAATGCCTTCCACACACTTGAGTTCTTACAAGGGAACCTGTTTAGGCGTAAATCTCCAAATTTTGTTGAAACTCGGAAAATTGAAAGGTATTATACTAGAAGTCGGATGGCACTTGAAATTTTTCCTGAACCTCACAGTTACTAGGGGTTTACTTGGACCTTACTGTGTTTTTTGTCTCAAATATATAAATGGAAGGTAGTGACGGTAGAACTACCAAAATGTTCGGAGGGGGTGCTCGTGCTCAGCCAGCTTCTCGAAAGAGAAAATTTAAAGAAGAGTATGCGGAGAGAGCGGTCGCGTGACCAGTCCACCAATCCCTAATCACTATCGGAGTTGCGAGAAATTCCTGGCAGGTATGTACTATTTTTACATCGCTTATAGCCTTGTTCGGATTATCTACCGCATCCGGAACCGGAACGTGGTCCAGGACTTCGCGAACTACGACAACGTGGTGGACTACTTGAGGACAACAGACCACCACTTCCAGCTGTGGTGTGCTAGTACGACTAATTAAAATTTTGGGATACACTGCCTGTGCGAATTTTATTTTGGGAAAATAAGTTTTGGGAATATATTATTGGGAAGAAAAAATTTGGGAAAAATTACAATTGGGAAAAGTGACCGGGAACCCCTCTACCGCTTTGACGGTACAAAATAGAGAAAAACGGACAACATTTTCGCCCAAAGGGCGCTACTTTCACGAGTTACCCCTCAGAACACAGCTTTACATTTTTCAAAAAATACTCCTTCCGTACATAAGGAAAAACTAAATGTAAGTTTCAGGAAAAATTTCAAGTGCCATCCGATTTCTACATAAATAACCTCCAATTTTTTCAAGTTTCAACGAAATCGGAGATGTTCACCTGAAAAGGTTCCCTTGTTAGTCTGAAACATATTGTTCCAGGTTGTGTTTTGGAGTTCAAACGGTTCAGTTGATGTAAACTTACTAGGAAAGTAATATGACTTCCAAGTCGATACATGTTGCTTGTAATTTTATAACACGATTCACTGCAAGACGTTTTTTTAAGAATGTTTTAAACATATTGGAAAATGGTCATGAACTTTTGACCCACATTGCAATTATCAAACAGTTCCCAAGATTATCTCTAGCAGAGGGATAAAAGTCCCTCCCCCCCCCCCCCCGCGCCTCTGCTCTCTTATTGTACTGTTGACAAGCACTATTAAAACATCTGCTCAGAGATTGCTATCGTACATTTGTTGAAAGATTAAATGTTTTAATGCATTCAGACAATTATGCCATCAGAGGAAGGCAGTACATCATGTTAGCATGTATTATTTAAATCTAATCCACTCAATGAGATATAAATAACCTAACTCTCCTGAGCTATCATACAGGGTGGGTGATCCGCGCCGTGTTTTTTTTTCTGCTTATGCTTTACCGGATTCATGCGTGCGGGCGGGCTTGCCCAGGGGTCTCAGACACGCGGCACGCGGGCCGCAAGGGCCGCACTGGAGAGAGATGGAGCTATGTGATCGCAGTGAGTGCAAGTGAGAGGTCCGACTCGTGCGGCCCGCGTGACCTCACAGTATGAGACCCCTGGGCTTGCCTATCGTCGCTCGCCATGGCGCCTTACGGCCCCGTGCGAGTATGCAACCCGTCCGCACGCATGAATGCGGTACAGTATAAGCAGAAAAAAATCACGGCGCGGATCACCCACCCCAGGTCTTAGTACTTAAACAAAGTTAGGCTTATAATTTCACACTCAAATTGAGCGATGTTAAATTATTAATACCAGGTTAGAGGGATATCTAAAAATTAATACTATCACAGAGAGAGGTTTAAGACTTATTGCTCAACACAGGCAATGAAAGGTTGTCTCGCTTCTTTGAAGCAGGGTTGTAAACGCTAATGTAACGGGTAGCGACGTTACGACCTTGGTTACGACATTTTCCTTAACGTTATATCAACGTAAACGTGCGACGTTAATTTTTTTAAAGCCGGGAAAACGTAACGCGTGTACGTTAACTGGTTCCCGTAAAGTCTTATCGACGTTGACGTTAAATCAACCTTCACATGCGTCAAAATTTGGGCAGCTACGGTCAGTTTTCTTGAGCACCCCTATCACGAGAAAATACCGAAGAAAGCCGAGCCTCTAGACGTGCTAAAACAAGATCTTTTTATACGTAAAGTATTTTTTTCTTGATATTTCTTATTCTGAAACAGCCATTTCTCTAAATTTTCGATATTTTACTTTTTTTTTATTGTTCTGCATTAACGTCGATGACGTTACGACGTTTAACGAAACGTAACGCGTTACTTTTTCGGGTTTCGAGGGTTTGTTTTTTGTAGAGGTGGTTTCGCAGAACTAATCAAAGGCACTCTCGTTTTCGGCGGCCTCTGTCCGAAAAGTTTGGGTCGGAAAATATTTTTTTTTCGTGAAATTGGTTCACCGACCAAGTGGTTTCAAGCTTTCAACTGGAAAAAAGTCGTGACTTTCTTATTTACCTTGGCAATAGGGGGCCAAAAGTAAGGAAAAGTGTAAGAAGCATATGGGCCCAGACCGACAGCACCCTACCGATTGCGCGGCGCACACTTGGGTTGCCTACCTGCAAGGCGCTTGTCTCGGGTCACTGGACGTGGGCGGCCTTGCCTACATAACTGGCGGTTAATGAAGGCTCCTTTAGCGATTGGCATCAACACCACCCCCTAAAGCCCAATGTCGTTTATAAACGACGTATGCTTTTTACGCTTTTCCTTTCTTTTGGCCCCCCATTGCCGAGCCAATTTGATAGTCACGACTTCTTCCAGTTGAGAGCAGGCAACCACTTGGTCGGTGAACCAATTTCACAAAATAAAACAAAAATATTTTCCAACCCAAACTATTCGGACAGAGGCCGCCGAAAACGGGCCCGGAGCAGATTGGAGGAGGCGCTCCTTTACATTGTTGTTCTTATTTTCAGGGACCCAATACGCATTTTTCTCAAGTGACATGCCCCATTAGAGTATTTTGATATGTCTTGGTGGGTAGTGATCAATTTCCGATCAAATTCGGCGCCTCGGAGGGCGATTGGCACCCTTACCACCCCCTAAGGCCCAGTGTCGTTTATAAACGGCATATGCCTTTTTAAACGGACCCGTTTCTGCCAGCCAGTTGGGCGGAGGGGGGGGGGGCGTCATGATTCAACAGCACCTGTTGAGCAGCTCCACACCCACGCCCGGGTGCCAGAGCAACAATGGACACCTTGCTCGCTGAGTAGTCAGCCCCCCGCGCGCGCTGCCCAGCGCTCATGCCAAAAATTGTGTTCAATTATGAAAGTAATGATTAATAGGCTAATTCAAAAAAATATCACGCAAAAAAACACATCGAGAACAAGAACAATGCAGCGAGCAGGCATGAAATGCCTACATGGCGTCCAAAAGCAGATTGTACAAGTGAGAGGGCGCTATGACGCGGCGCAAATTTCTATTCAAAAAATTTTGCTCGAAACTGTAAAATAGAAAATTTTCTTTTCTAAGGGTCCGTTTATGGTTCACAAGAATTGTTAACGTTTTTGCTTTCCCTTACTTTTGGCCCCATATATTGCCGACGTAATTTGTTAGTCACGACCTTTTCCAGTTGTGAGCGGGCAACCACCTGGACGGTAAACCCATCCCACGGAAACAAAAAATTATTTTCCGACCCAAACTTGTCAAACAGAGGCCGCCGTAAACGGGACCGGAGCCGATTGGAGCAGGCGACCCTCTAGACGGTTTATACCATTTCCCGGGTCCCAAGGGTGAAAATGCGAATTATTTTTTTTCATATTACTTACATTTGAGTTGATACCCACACAATGACACCCAATTTTGATCAAAAAGCCAGCATATTAGGGATAGCCAAATTTTCTATACCCTTATGCCCGAGGGGGCAATAACTCCCTTTTAAAGTGGACACATGATTCCCGAAATTCTTGATTCCCGGTGATTTCCGTCCGCCAATAATTATTACATGGGTTTTTCGGGGGGTTTTAGTGGTATAAAACGCTTATTTCGACTGATTTGTACTTCTTTCTCTAGTTTCCCGCTTATTCTAAGCGATTGCTATTGATTTTGATCAATTTTTATCCTGGTGATTCCCAGACAGGTGTACACATGATTCCCGGAGTTATTGCCCCCTCGCTTATGCCCCTTGCCGTTTATTAACGACATGTTGGTAATTTCGTTATTTACGGCCGAATTTCGGATTTCTTTGTTGTTCTCGTCTATTTAGGTGGTAAATACGAAGAATTGCAAGAAAAATAATTTTTTGATCGCACCTACTGATCGCGGGCCTTTTTTAAGGGTTAACTCAAATCTCAAATTAACGAAACGAAACGCGTCAAATTTAAATTTTAAAGTTAACAACCCTGCTTTGAAGTAACAAAACTCGCTTTAGTATTTACAGTGTGAACTTACTTTTCAAGGAGAACAATCTTCATGTCCTTGAAGTCATCAGTTGCTTCTTTCGCAAGTTGATCGGCAGTTTTCCCCAAACATGATGCGATCTGAAACAGATTTAATTTTCTGAACAGAAACAGTCAAGTAGTGATCTGCCTTCCAGAGGTTAGACTGTTCCTTCCCTGAGAGCGGCGTTGATCTACAAATCCTTGAAATTTGAGGAGGTTTCTCCTAGACCCTCAACCGATTTCGTCAAATCCTCGCAATCTTCATAAAGAAGGTAAAATGAGGTTAGGATGTCCGTGACTGGACCTACAGTCGGATTAAAACAGGATGACGGGTGACCCCCCCAAAAATCTGCTGGCTACTTCTCCTCAGCAACCGCAGCAAAAGTTCTGCCCTGTTCGTCCTGACCAGACCCAAACAGTCAGTCAACCCCCGCACGTTCCCTAAGACCCGCCCCTTGGTCTCATATTTCAAAAGGAAGAAGCCTTTCAATTTTCGGAATAGCAAATATTTTATTTGGATGTTTTCATGATGGGGTGTATTTTAGGATTAGGTTTCGAAATTTAAGAATTTACGTGCAAACTGCATCTTGATGCGACAATTTCAAGATGAGTTAGCAAATTTTGTGAGTTTACAGATAAGTTTGATTGAAACACTTATTATTCAACATATGACATGTTTGATACGACCCTAGTCATCTGCCGTGTCGCAATTCGCAAAATTTGCCTATTAGGGCTCCCGATGGGCCCTGGAATCTCATTCGCTAACACTCAATGACATTATATTGAAAGCATTGAAAGAGATGCATTTGACTTCCCTCTGGGCTCCTCCTTCTCTCCTTTTGTGTAAGGGGCCACCACCCTCACACTCATGTGTCGCCTCGACCCTTGTTTGACCAGGTGGCCAACTACCACCGCCGATGCACCAGCCTCCTTCCAGTTTGAAGTAGACTGCATCCCACCATTCAGGTTTTGAAAGTAGAAGAGAGGACTCCTTTGCCCGCTCGCCAGGCACGTCGCGGTGTGACAGTATTTCGTGAGGTATCGTAAAACCTGTGCCCTGATATACGTGGTGTCGCGTTCATTTTCCTACTCCTATCCTACTCCCAATCATTTCTATCAACGGTTTTGAAGTGGCAGTCTACCCGCATGGAAAAAAAGCGTTTGAAATTGATCTGCGTTTGGTCACTACGCTAGGTTTCTTCTCGAATGTAACTCTCTGTCAAAACTGTCAGGAAACTGCCTGTGCCCGACTCCCGTGTGCGAAGTGTTTGAAACCATAATGAAACCTGACTCAGCAGCTCTGTGCGAGAACTGTCCGAGATGTGTCTGCGCAACTTGTAACTGCATTCTATCTGACGTGGCTGGGACTTAGGCACTTCCGAATAAGGCTCTTAAAAACCCGACCCGTGGGTACCCGGGCAACCCGGGTCGGAACCGGGTCAACGGGTTTTCCCGGGTACCCGGGGTACCCGGTGGAACCGCGCAAGCAAGAAGGCAATTTGACGTGCTCGTATGTGAAATTGCCTAGCTATAGGCGCAGGGCAGCCGGGTAATACGCCGAGTACCCGCGAAAACCCGTCTACCCGAGAAAACCCGTCGGTTCCTACCCGGGCACCCGGGTAAGCGGGTTTTCCGGGTACCCGAGTAAAAATAAGAGCCCTACTTCCGAATCGAGTTACATTTGAGTTCGTGACTGAATGCAAATATATTTCAAACGCTGTTTTCCATGCGGGTACTTCAGATGTATTATCCATCACAGAGAACCCACCTATACCTACATTTAAATGTAGAACTCTGTCTGAACCGTAAAGCGGGCTTAAACCTTGCATTATTCTTCTATGATCCGGCAGTACGTTACTCTTTTAACAGAGTGTAAGTCCGTTCTCAGTTTTTTTCAGTTGAATAATCTCGTCACAATACCGAATCTCATGCTGGAATATGTACGTTTGGTATTATTCATACTTATGCCTTGCGTCTCTTACCAGCGCAGCCACCACGAGACCACGACACAAAGCCCGCGCCATAATAACATTAACTGTTCTGTTTGTTCGAGCCGTGGTCGTTTTATAGCTGGCAGGTGTCGTGTAACTGAGAACACGTGACTCTTGATGTGGCGCGAGTGACGCCCTCGGCAGTGACGAGTGACGCATCCATGGGGCGACTTTCTGAAAAAGTAATTTGACTCTCGAGGGGTGAACAGCTGGTGTATAACTCGGCCGGGTTACCTTGTATTTCCTGATATTACCAAGTACTGCGTGTTTTCCTTGTATTACCTTGTAAAACCAAGTATATTAACAAAGAACTGTCAGTTTGACTGTGTATTACTTACATTCCTTACACTCAGTCTGTTAGTTAAATTACATTGTGTTACAAGTATTTAGGCTCTGTAATACCTTATATTACACTGGTAAAACAAGCAGGCCCGCCCTTCCGCCCAACGAAGTTGCCAGCTCCGCTTCGCTACGCCGGCAACTCCGTTCGGTGCGGCCCGACCATTATTTCGGTCACACGATTTGCTGAAGAACATGATCAAAGGATGAAACGGGCCTTAGGCCCGCTTAAACCCGTCGTCTTTGAGTTTGCCCCATAGACGCGAGAAAGGGATGTAACAGTGAAGCACCACGACTAAAACCCACCCTTCAGCTTAGAAAACGCTTTTTGAGGGTGTAGGGGGGGGAGGGGTCTTTCCTATTTTGCGGTTTTTAGGCCTTTTTCAACAACTTATTGTTCACTTCGGCAATTTTTAGCTTATTTTCGTCAAACAAAACCCTTTAGCGCCTAAACGGTTAGAGATAGAGCCAAACAGACGACATTTTTCCCTAAAGAACTTTACTTTGACGAGTTACCCCATAGAACATAAAAACAAGTTGCAAGGTGTGCCAAATGAATATGCTACATAATTAATCTGCACTGCAAAAAATTAGAGTTTGATACGGAACGATCTACAGCGTTACTGTAGATGCCGCTCTGAGCCACTGCACCTAGGGTACAAAACGCGGAGTACAGTGTTGCTGTAGCACCGGAAAGCCCAGGTTTTACACGGTACAGTGTACGAAGACGGCTCCACTGTAGACAGTTTTGTTCGCTTTTGCCTGTACAGTGGTCCTGTACATTGCTCCCTGTACCAAATTTTAACCATTAAAACTACAGCGATGCTGTTATTCGAATAACAGACGTTTCTGGAAAATGAATTAGCCGCATTACCTGTCAAAATTTTTTGCAGTGTGCTCGTTCTTTACGGAATTTGTTTTGTATGCTTGCTAGGGCACATTGTTTTTGGTTTTGTGCATGTAACGACTGCAAAGCAGTAGGTAGGCAATCACGTCATGCAGTCATGTGAAATTGGTGGTGGTACGCGATGCTGGTTGGGGTTCTGGTTCTGGGGTTTGAAATGGCGGTGAAGTTTTCTTGCCAGACAGTTCACGGCCCAAAAAAATTGTCCCCGGATTCAATGAAACTTTTTTTGCTTGTGGCATTTTACATTTGGTGTATGCCTATCGTCCTAGGTGGCCCGATTCCTGGGGCAAGAAGACTGTTTTCCCACTTTTGAAAAATAAGGTGAAATGTAAGTAGGGATGGGGAGTAGGCTGGAGCTGGAAGTTGTGAGTTGGCCCAAGCATCTATGAGATAAGAAGATTCAAATACTTTTTTAAAAAATCAATTAAAAAAATACATTTATTTTTAAAATGTTTAATTTGGAATAGCTGAAATGATGTCATCATGTATTTTGTTGAGAAAAATTGTAAAAGTAGCTGATACTAACTTTGATTTATGCTCAACGTTTTGTGACACATGGACTTTTACTTTTTAAGCTGTGGGGATTGCGCCTTCTCTGACTAACTTGTGCCAACTGTATCTCTTCGACATGGCTGGAGTGGATGACTATGAATTACCCATGTTTCAGTTGACATTCTTTCATATACAATAATAGCTCTCTGTCACAATATACTGTATGGACAGTTGTAAGTTCTAGTTGCTACGCTGACTTTTGGTTGTTTTGCTTATCCCAAAAAATTAGACAATTACTTTATTCATAAATAAATATGTTTTACCTTTATTCTCTGCAAATATGTAAGAGCTCAACTAGTCCAAGAGACAATAGCATTTTGTTGTTGCTTTCTTAAAACATAGTACCTTGTGACACAAATATAAATGAGGTAACTGTCTAAAGTTTTTTTTTAAGATCAGCATATTAGAGTGGTTTTGGATAAGCAAAACCCAAAGTTAGCGGAACAATTAGATCTTTTAAATACAGATATATGATGACAGAGAATAGTTATGTTATATAAAAGAATGTCAATTTAAGCATGGGTAGTTCATTTCCATCCTTCCCATCTAAGTCGAAGAGGTTCTGTGGTCGGGAGTTGGTTGGTCAGAGAATGTGCAATCCCCATAGCTAAAAAACTAAAAGTCCACGTGTCACAACACTTTCAGAATAAATCAGAGTTGGTACGAGCTACTTCCAGAATCTTTCTTAGCGAAATCGATGGAGACATCATTTCAGCTATTTCAATTAAAAGATTTCAAAAATTCATATACATTT